TTTTCAGGATTTTTATTTTATAAACATATTTTTAGCATTTAAGAGGCTTATTATGTGCCAAGAACCAACTAAATATTTTATGGATGCTATTTCCTTTAATTCACACAATAACTCTACCAGGTGGTGCCATTACTATCCCTATTTTACAAATGAAGGAACGAAGTCTTAGGGAGCTTCAGTGATTTTCCCAGTGACGTGCAGCCAGCAAAGGAGGAAGAGAAGCTTTAACCCCAGGACTTCCGGAGCCATGCCGGCTGCTCTCTTAAACCATGGGTTATTTTGATGCACAAAGGAAAGATTAGCGTATGAAATCTCCTCTTGGTCTTGTTTCCCTTGCCGCTTCCTAAGACTCAAGTACCTGATATAATAAGTGAACTCATATATGTGGAATCTGAAAAGAAACAAAAACAAAAAATCCAAGAGGACAGATTTGTGGTTGCCAGAGGCAGGGGGTGAGGGGTGGGTAAAACGGGTGAAGGGAGTAAAAAGGTACAAAGTTCCAGTTAAAAAATAAATAAGTCAAGGAATGTGATGTACAGCACGGTGACTATAGTTAATAATACTGTATTGTATATTTGAAAGTTGCTAAGAGAGTAGATCTTACAAGTTCTCATCACAAGAAAAAAATTTGTGACTGTGTATGGTGATGGATGTTAACTAGGCTTGTTGTGGTGATCATTTCACAATATATACAAATATCAAATCATTATGTTGTACACCTGAAACTAATATACTGTTATATGTCAATTATATCTCAATAAAAAAACAAGCAAACCCCAATGCCTAGAAATCATCACCATCATCATTATCACCATCACTCTTCTGAATTTCGGTCAAATAAGGAAGAATCAAAAACTAAATTACAGGGCCGGCCCCATGGCTTAGCAGTTAAGTGCGCACGCTCCACTACTGGCGGCCCAGGTTCGGATCCTGGGCGCGCACCGACGCACCGCTTCTCTGGCCATGCTGAGGCCGCGTCCCACACACAGCAACTAGAAGGATGTGCAACTATGACATACAACTATCTACTGGGGCTTTGGGGGAAAAAAAAGGAGGAGGATTGGCAATAGATGTTAGCTCAGAGCCGGTCTTCCTCAGCAAAAAGAGGAGGATTAGCATGGATGTTAGCTCAGGGCTGATCTTCCTCACAAAAAAAACAAACAAAAAAACCCCAAAAAAACCTAAATTACATAATATTGTCATGCTGATCTTTGATTTACTTAATTCAGTATTTTTATTTCTTTGAGTGTTTCTAAAAGATTTACTTTTATGTTTTATGAAAGGTTTTGCTTTTAGGCATTGGCTTACTCTCATCATTTTTTCTAGAGTCTACATAGACATCTGGTTGGGAGGCATGTCAACGCATTTCTAGACCAGGGTCTCTCAACCTTGGCACTCTTGACATTTTGGGCTGGATAATTCTTTGATGTTTAACAGCATTCCTGGCCTTTACCAACTTGATGCCAGTAGCACCCTCCCCTTTTCCCCCAAGTTGTGACAACCAAAAATGTTTACAGACATTGCCAAATGTCCCCTATGGGGCAGAATTGAGAATTGCTCCAGGCAAATGTGAGATGAAGTTGCGCAGATTGAGAACACCGCTACCCCATCTGCCTATCAGGAGAGTACATGATAGGATTTTTTTCTTTTTTGTTTCTCTTCAATTGGGAAAAAGTTAGGTCTTGTGATGCGGTTCCTAATGACTTGTAATAAAAGAAATCTGTATATATCACTCTGTACTATAGAAACTATTACATAAGGTGGTTTCCTTGCAATACATGTGCTTTCATAACATTAAAAATAAAAGGGGATTGATAATGAAAAAAAAATGAATTCATTGTTTAATATGTAATAGAAAATATATA